CCCCAAAACCCCAAAACCCCAAAACCCCAAAACCCCGTTGCTTTCTAAACTAATTGATAATATCTTCACTAAAAATGGAACCTAAACTTGACTTTCAGAAGATTGATGCCCAGATCGATGTTTCTTTCTGGATGAAGTATAACAAACTAAAGCTTGATAAGTTCAAACTTTCAACAGACCCCGTTCCAATTTATGGGTCTTATCAACTACCAATGGTTCAGGATCTCCCAAGAGATTTGACAATAGATGAATACTCTATTGAGCATAAGGATAAGAAAACTCAAGGAGGACTACTAGAGTCTAGATTTGAAGGACTTCTATTAAATACTAACACTATCGAAGAATTTAAAACCCTAGATATCAACACAAAGTCAAAGGAGCTGTTGTCGGAGCAATTCATCAAAGATATTCTTGAAGAAAAATGGCTGGATACTCCTGAGATATTAAACAAGTTTTTGCTTCTCTCCTTTGCTGATCTGAAGAAGTATGTATACCAATACGCATATCACACCCTTGTTATTGACGATTCTGTATTTCAAGTTACTGTTTCAAGAAGCAAACTACTTCACAAACAGTACAAAAAGGACAAAGAAGGTCTTGATAAAATTGTAAATGCCTTCTTGACTTATATCTCGAACAAAGAGGAAGATAAATCATTTAACACTCCGTTCATTGTGTGCTCTGAAGAAACCGGAGAAGTAGTTACTTTAAAGCATGCTTTGGAAGATCCTTCTAAGCATATCATCTTCATGATAGATCCTTCCCCAAAACTGCCAAGTATCATCTTGAAGAATCTATTGTTTGCTTTCTCGACCAAAATTTCTGAAGCAACAACTTTTCGGTTGATATCCTTAAGAGATAAAATATCCAGGAAGGGTGAACAATTTGAACCAAAACATTCCTTATACTTCGAGGTTTCTATTGATCCTTCTAAGGTAGACCAGGAAACTAGCCTAGCTTTCACTCCTTGGAGCGGAAAGAATAATTTACTAGACTTGAAAGGAATCTTTGATCCTGAATCCTTAGCTAAAAGTGCAGTAGGACTTAACCTTAAGCTAATGAAGTGGAGAATGGTTCCAGATTTAGACCTTGAAGTTGCAGAGGAAAAGAAGATTTTACTCCTTGGATCTGGCTCTCTTGGTTGCCAAATCGCAAGGAATCTTTTATCTTGGGGTTTTGTGAACTTTACTTTTGTTGATTATGGAAATGTATCCTTCTCTAACCCAGTTCGTCAATGTCTATTCACATTCCAAGATAGTATCGAAGAAAAAAATAAAGCTGAGTGTGCAGCTCAAAGACTAAAAGAGGTATATCCTTTAGTCAAAACTGAAGGAATAAGGCTGAGTATCCCAATGCCAGGTCATCCAGGCAAAACTGAGGAAGCTGAAAATCAGATTAGAGAATCATACAGAAAGCTAGACAAATTGATTCAAGAGCATGATATAATCTACCTTATTACAGACAGTAGAGAATCTAGATGGCTACCAACAGTCCTTTCTGCTATTCACAACAAAATCTGCATGACTGTAGCTTTAGGTTTTGAAACATTCTTAGCAATGAGACATGGAATGAGCTCAGAGCACCATGACAAAGAAATCCATGGAGAATATAGACTAGGATGATATTTCTGTAATGACACTGTTGCTCCAAGAAACTCAATGCAAGATAGAACTTTAGATCGCCAATGTACAGTAACAAGACCAGCCATGTGCACAATGGCAAGCTCTATATCAGCTGAGTTGTTAATGAGTCTTCTAAACCATCCTCTAAGACAAGGTGCTCATTGTGATGAAGAGATTCTCAAATCAGATAGAAGTGTGTTAGGAATTATACCCCATCAAATCAGAGGAGACATGAACGATTACAGAGTAACTCCAATGTGCGGATATTCATTTGACATGTGCATCGCTTGCTCACCAAGTATTCTTGAGCAATTTAAGAGTGACCCAGAAGAATTCTTACTGAAGGCATGCAACTCCCCTGGATATCTGGAAGATGTGAGCGGAATAACTAAAAAGATGGCTGAAATCAATTTTGATGACATTGATGTCCTTGATGATTTTGAGCTTGATAGTAGCGAAGAAGAGAATGAAAATGGAGAAGAAAAGATTAAAACATAATTTATTCAATTCTTTGAGCTCAAGTGGGGTTTTGGGGTTTTGGGGTTTTGGGGTTTTGGGG